ACTGTCTCATGCTCTCTCAGGTCTGGCTGGACGCAGTCAACACTAGCCCTGGTTTCACCAGTGGCCACTGCCACCTGAGACAGCAATTGGGAGTTCCGTACACAATTAACCACTCCTTCTGGTGACTTGTACCTTCTACCTGCGGATTTGACCTGATGATAGTAGTGATCTTAGATCGCTACAAAAGTCAAGGATAAAACGGGGGACTGGTGTACTCACCGAAACGCGGTCTCCAACGGTAGCTGATGAGGAGTCGCCCATTCGGCTGATGATTTTTCAGGTACAGATAGTTGGGGACGTTGTCCTGTCCGCGCAGATCTCCCAATTTCAAACTCACGGAGGACTCCGAGCCAGGGGCATTTTTCGGCTCAGGCGTGCCACTTGGCAGACCACCAGCTCCGCGCGCCGCCCTTATGGGTTCCACCAGGTTTCGCTGTAGCAGAAGTTCAGTAGCCTGATCTACAGCGTCCTCGTTCGCATACAGGGGTTGGAGCTTCTTCTGTGGCAGTTCAGAAGGGCTCTGAGTGGCCGAGGGGCTACTGCCGCTGCTGCTGCTGCTAGTCAACAGGGAGAGCGGAAGTCCTGCTGTGCTCAGCTGGATGGTGATTGGACAGTTGGTTGGGGAGAGCTCTTTCCAGTCACCAGAGCTGGCAACATGATTAGAAAGCAGCCGGTGAGTGCCGTCGACACCTTGAACACTCTCTTCCTCTGAAGGAGAGGTGAAGCAGCGCAGGAGGACGAAATCCACACTTGTGGCGTCAGGTGGAGAAGGGAAGCTGCATCAAGAGGGATAAAGACGCCAGATGAGGTTGATGCATTACGATTTGAAGGAAAGTTCAATATAGAAAATGACTTTAATTGCACGGCTTCAGTCACAATAAAAAAGGTTGGGTATCCCGAATAGTCGTTATTCACGTCTGTTTTGATGATACTAACAGCCAGCAGGTTAGCCGTTTAACTGGTTTCTATGGCGCAGGTTTTGGTCACAAAATGAGTCACAATGAAGTGTAGAATGCGAAGCCAGGTATGCATTCTGCTTAAAGCGGACTTGCAGAACACAATCCAGTCCGTTGGAGAGGAGAAACAGTGCACGTACTGCGTTAAAACTCATATGTCATAGTT